GTTTCTAACGAGCTACCGATAACATTCTCCAACTGTTTTATTTTCCACTTTACTTAAAAAAAACCCTCAAACATCATATTTAAAGCACTTTGAAAAAAAAAAACGTTTACTCTCACGACAGATATATATATATAAAAAATTAAATTAAAGGTTTAGACACACACATTACATATGTTATCTTAGAAGGAGGGGACTGTAGCCCATAGACCCAAGACCGTAATAGTAAATCAGCTGAAAAGAGACATCACTTCATGAATTTAATTTCCACGTTCAATGGGGCGTGACAAACAGAGCGGGAGCAATAAAACTAACGTTCAATTAGTACTCGTCTAATTCTCCGGGACCGGTTATTTGTTTATCGGGGCGAATCTCAGTACTGATCCGCTTGTAATCTGCTTATGGAAATTGACCGGTGGCAGAGAGAGGGAGAGAGGAGGAAAAAACACGCAAAGAGTAACCCGGAGTTTGATAATGAGGGCCTCTGTGCGGCTAATTTCCTAATTAAGGAACCGAGGACCACCAGCACAGTCTGCTCTGATTCAGACTCAACAAGCCTGACGGCCCTAAGGGGCTCTCAGGGCGCACGGCTGCAGGATCCCACTGTTGAATGTTGGGAAATATGTGGATGTCCTGATGGGAGGATGTAACGAGCTTGCAATCACCTCAATCGGGTATAATTTGACATAAAAAAAAAAATAAAATAAAAAAAAAAATGAATGAATAGCGCGTCAGCCTAAGAGCGAAAGTTCCTCTCAAAAATTCAGATTTCAGCGCAGAAATTAGTCGTTTTGTATTTTTAGTCAGAACACACAGGTTATGTGTTTATTAAACGCAAAAATGTGTGTTTAATTCTTACATTTATGTTCTTGCGGTAGGAGCTACAGAAATAAAGGTCTTGTGCAGAGTTTCGGCCTTTAGGCCAGCAAATAAAAGCAAACAAAGGATTTATTAGTTCAGGGCTGGAGAGGAATTAAAGTTTATCCAGTATGACAGACTGACACAACGACACATAAATGCCTGCTTTAAAATATAGTGCTCCGAACGCATTAGAGCTTTGTGGTCAGACAGCAACTTTAATAATACACGACAAGGCGCAGGCGCTGCATGCATTCAGCTTCCAACACCTGATAACAGATGAAATTTATTGTTTTGAATCGTGCTTTTATTGTTGCAGAATGAGCTTACAGTTCGTTGTTTTCATTTCATTTTTTTTTTACAGTTCTCAAACAAAGCAGATTGTTTTTCATTATCAAAAGTCGCACCTCAGATTCACAATAAACATTTTTACGTGTCCATTTTAGACCCCACGACCTCCAGAATCAATAACTTTCTTTTTGTTTCAGCTCAGTGACTGCGGACAAGGCCTTTGAGAAACAGTAATTAACAAAGAATGGTTTTTCAATTACAGCCACAATGGAAACTGTCTCATTAAGATTTGCATGATTTTTTTTTTTGGACTGGGAATGCAAATGAAGATGCAATTTACGCACGGTCTGCTGTTCCTATTGTGCGGCGTGAATGGTTGCGTCCTCCCAGTTCAACACAGGTAAAATAATATTCACGGGTCATTTAAAGGAATAAAAGTGTCGCTATTATCACCTCTTTATTACACAAATCTGGGCTAGTATCCCTAATGGTAATTTGACGTATTTGACCCGTATATCAGTAAACTGCTTAAAATGTTTAACGTCTGTGCGTAATGCAGAATCATGGCCGGTGGAACATTTTTACTCCCTTAACTGATGACATGGGTTGACACAATTTGGGGGGGGGAAGTGTGCATTTGTCTTTATCTGTTTTTTTAAATCGCAATTAAGTCTTAAAAGTCTTTAAAAATCCTAACTCTATAAGGATTGTGCATTTTTATTCCCTGCACTGCTTTGGAGAGAGAGGGGGGAAATAGATATCAGCTATGATCCCCTCTAGCAACAGGTATTTATAAATTAGTTCTTAATAGCTCTGCCTGCTTGATCTATTAGGAAGTGGAGCTTTCCCTAATGTGAGTCTTTGGTTTGCTTTGAGATGTTATCGAAGCAGAGGACTGCACTCTTACAGCACTCTTGTTTGTCAGAAAACTTTAAGAGGCAAACAACAAATTAATATAAAAGACCTCAAGATTTTTTTAATTCAATGAAGTTTTCATTTTATCATTGGAACAAATTAAATATATTTTATATATATTTTAAAATCTTTGCAAATTTCCTCCACAGTAAGGATGAGCAAGAGACCTTGACTTGTATAAGCACATTTGTTTAAAATTGCTGTAAGCCGGTGTTCACTGCCTGCTGGCAGAAACATAAGACAGAGAAATCACGGATCAGGGCAGAAAATAAATAGAAGTGAGGTCTTTGAGAGAAACATGTTTTTATCACTGCTCTGTCCTGGACTGTTCCCTCACAAATATGCCATATGAAGCATTTTAGTTCTCACGAGGGAGATTGGGAAAGCTTCGAGTACAGGTAGATTCATTAAACGTTCAAAATTTCCGGACGCTACTCTGACAATCGTTTCCGACTCAAGACCATCTGAGGCTGTGAAAGTCTCCAAGTTCAGTTATTAAGGGAACAGATGGACGCTCACACCTTCAAAAGAAGCAAAACACACACTTAGAGGACAGATGCATCGATTTTCAGGAAAGCTTTAGTGGAGTGTTGCAAGTCCGTCATCAGGAGGACTCCAGACTAATGGAGAATACGGCATTCTTCCCTCCAGTGCAGCAGAGTAATTTGTGTTTTCATTCTTTGTGCTGGTTGGGCAGAGAGAAGCCCAGAAGTGTTCTCCCTGCACTCAACAGTCACCTTGTTCATTTCTGTGGAATGCATACTTCCTACTTATTGCCCTCTGCTTGTAAAACAACATGCAAAAAGCTGCTTGCCTCCTGCCGCTGCCTGTGAAGACTGCTTCAAATTTGAGCCTCTTTTTCTCCCCGGCAGGCCAAGCATGTCCTTCCTCATTATGTTCTTATGTGAGCAAGGCCAAGGCTGCTGACACAGACCCAGTGTAATCTCTTTAACCCGCCACTGTCATGAGCAGACAAGGCGTGACCACCCAACACTCTGCTCCATCTCACTTAGCCAAGGGAATAGTTTTTCACCTCATCGCCTCACACTCCTAGGCTTGTAGCTGCTTATCATTTAGGGATGCACATCTGAAACACATTCGATCGCACACATCGAGGGTTAATCACTGTTACAAGACCACTCCATATAATTACGTGCAGTTAAAAACTCACTGACCCCTGCAGTTGCCATAATTGACGCAAGCCGTTTTTTCACTGGTTATTGACTAATGAAGCTAAAGCAAATGAAATTACATCGCAGGAGAGGACATTGGTGGAAGCATTTTTAAATGAATATACAATGATTACTAGCTCCTTGATGTCATTTCTTAGACAAAGACTCTGTACGTTTACTTCGTATTAGGGGATTTGGTATATGACGCGTTAAATGAAAAATAAAATACTAAATTACTGTGAATTATAAGCTCCTATCCATTGAAAGCTAATTTCAATTCAGTTCAAATTAAGCAGAAAATTTCGATAAATGTGGTTTTGCTTCTAAGCCTGTGGGTGAGGTCTGCATTAAGCCATCGAGTGCAAAGTCTGAAACTGCCTCGACTGAAGCCCAGTGCCGTTTCCATTTATAGTGAACATACAAACCTTTCATCTCATTTGCTCTTTTTTTTTTTTTTTTTAAGAATTATGAGATGCACTCATGCACAATAAATGGTGTGCAACAAAAGACAAGAGTGTAATTTAAGTCTCCAGATATTTTTTCCCCCTGCAGCAAAGTTATAGTAGTCTGACAGCAAGCTGTTGCCTGATTTTAAAAACGCCTGCACGTGAATGGCATTATCAAGCACTCCTATATGATGATCATTTTAAGTAATGTTAATGCCTGACTAGCTAATTACAGCACTCATTATTTTCCATGTATCTGTTGAATCATTGCCATGTTCAGTTTTCCCCAAAACAATGGAAACTTCCTCCGTTTTTTGTTTGGAAGAAAGTGCTGAATCGTCACTTTTTGCTTTGCGCCATGCCCAAGCAAGCAGCCCTCTTTTGTTTTAGCCATAATTGAGATCCCAACTAATCTAGCCTCTTTTTTTTTTAAGGCAACAGTCTCTTTGTTAAGCCTTCATTAGTTTAAGATAATATTGTGAGAATGCACAATTAATTTGCAGCGTAACTTTAATTAATTAAATACACCCAATTTTGTAATGTGATTAATGCCGCCAAGTTGTTATCTGTGTCCTCCTCCAAAATGAATATGTAACAGCGATACTGCACTGAGCATTAATTGCAGAAATTGTGGCATTTAAGAGCCAAAAACTAGGTGAGGTAATTATAAGAGGTAATTTATTAAATCTTAAATAAAGAAACAAACAAGCATTAATTGATATATAAATCATGAGTACCATAATGTGTAATCTGGCTGTGATTTGGGAGAAAATGACAAATCTTTGTTGCATGCCAAGCACTTGATAAAGCAGATAGTGGTCATAAATTTAGCAGCAGTCAAGGTCTCATTAAAGGAGGCATAATTTAATTAAGAGTTAGCCATCGCCCTCTAAATATATTAATTACCTTGAGCATGACGAGATAAGTGTGGTGATTATTGCATATTTCATTAGAGTACGTCTTCGGGGAGAAGAGCAAACTAAGGTGGGAAGCTGGCTGTGTTGACAAGATAATGGATGGGCTGGCCTGAGATGAATTTGGTCACCTTGCCGTGGGTTGGAGCTCGGAGAGGTGAGACAGAGGACAACACAGGTACTCAAGCATTAAGGTTTCCGCCTGTTTACTAGGAATTTAATTTTTAGACTTTATATATATACATATGATTAAATCTCTGTAAGTCTCTAATCATATTTGAATAAATTATTTTTCCAAAGCATTACATAACTATTACTTCAAATACATGATATAAAAAGGTGAATTTAATTTAAAATATGTTAAATTTTTATTATTAAAAAAATCTGAATGATGCTAGAGCTCATGTCATTTTAAAAAGCACATTTTTAATTTTAGTAATGATTCAAAGTAGAAGTCGCTGTATTGTGATTTGTGTTGTTATATAGAAAAAAAGAAATAAATAAAAACTGTAAGCGTAGAAATAAGAAAAAATCCTGCTTAAGTGTTATTACAAAAGTCAAAACTAAATACTTCTGCCTTTGTTCTGAGTGGCGCAAGCTATTACGGTGACCTAATAATGCTCTATACTTTTATATTCCACCTGTATCGACTTCGCTTGTCCCTAATATAGCCAAGAGTTACCCTTTTGTGCCAACTATTTTGTACAAACCCATCCACAAACACACATCCAGACCAGAAGTGTGCAGAAGTGTGCAGGGGTGACGGCTCATTGCCCCATAGACTGATATGTCAATGGAACATACAAGATGTTGCCGCTGTGTTGGAGAGATTTGCAGCCTCGCTCCTCTCCCGCCTGACAGCAGGACAAAGAGCCTAAGCTACTATTATCTGGAAGCAACCTCTCATTCTTGCTTTCATCCTTCTCTTCACAAACATAGATGTATACAGAGCTCAGCATAAAGTCACTGATGCATCCAGTGTGCGTGTCAGAGAGGACAAACCATAACAATTGGGGGTAGTTTTAACATTCTTAAAAGTCAAAATAATTGACTATATAGCATTTTTTGAATAAAAGAAATGTAGCTTGCACCACAGTGATTATTTTATGCTTTTCCTATATTTGTTTTTTAATCATAACAAAGATTCTTTTTATTTCACGTGTTGTAACTTTTAGGTCGATTCTGCAGGATTTGACCGCTCTGCTTTTTCCTGAAATCTAAAATGCTGCTGTATCTGATTAGAATAAAACCAACAGGTGACAAGACGGCAAAGCTAAGCTTCCTCGACTCAAATTAGACTATGTCATAACAAATATAGCATATGTGAACACACAGAGCTTCCTAACCATCATTCCAAATGCCCCCTCCCTTTTTTCTCTCTCTCTCTCTTTACTACTAACCTCCTCCCACTCTGGCCAGAAAATTGAGGACACTCACCAACCTCTCACTGCTTCCAAGGCTGCTGCTGCTTCCCGATCCCTCTGTTAGACACACCTTCAACAGCTGACTGCCAGCAGGCCCGGGAGCAGAACCATGGACTCTAAGATGGCAGGGACATCAGCAGCCTACAGCCTCAGCCCAGACTCCATCAACAGCCATTTAAACAGGAGTACCTCCAGCAAGGCAGCCCTCTGTGCAGTAGAGAAATAAAAAGTGTGAGAGCGCTGGGCAGTCACCGGTATGGCAGTGCACACTGCAGCTGAGCTCTCCCTGCTCTGGGACCCATCTCATTCAGCCAAGATTGCTTCATACAAAAGTTGACAATGCACCAGTGAAAGCCATTGTTGATATTCAACATTTTTTAAATAGCTGAGCAGAATAGACAACATGGCAGGCTGCAAAACTTGGCAAGGGAAACTGACCTGGAGCTTCCCGATTTGAAAGGGTTGCCACGCTGGGCGAGAGGAGAGAGCGCTATTGTGTTAAAAAAAAAAGAAAAAAAAAAAAGAGGGAGAGCTGGTGTGAAAGAGCTCAAAAAACAAAACATCTCCCATCCCAGGAGAGCAGAGTACAGCAGGAAGAGGACAATCATCCTGCACAGTCACGAGCATATATACCCAGAAAGAGCAGAACAATAAAAGGTATGCAATCGGATCCAATTTAAGAACGGGATATTATATTTCTCACTTTTGAACCAAACAATGAAGCAGCCCAGTTAGTTGTTGAAAAGCCCGAACATACGTCATACCTCACGTTCAATATTTTTGCCTTGGCCACTATAATTCATCTTCCATGCGTTGGCTTGGCAAACATCCAGATGAATGCCTTTCAGAGAGAGTGATCCATTTCTCTAATGTTGCACACATGAGAATGACACTGCCCGGTGTTCCTAATGGTGTTCTGTTTCCACTATTGTCAAGCTGACAAGCATGCAGATTGATATGGACATTTAAGAAGCCTTTAACCTTCCACATGTTAAAGCATCACAGTGCTGCTCGTGCCTCACAAGCTATCAATACATCTAATGTAATGTGTAGGTACAGGTGTGTGCGTGCCTGGTAGCCCTGAGGCAGGTCTCAGTGTTGTGTTTCGTGCATCCTTGTGTTTTGCGATGGGATGGGATAGGAAAGGTGAGTGACACACTATTAGCTCTCCCCCAACCCCACCACAAAAAAGCAGCTGCAATGCATGCTGGGACAATTTTAATCAGCTCAATAAATGACTGCAATACTGTGAACTTTGTGTTAGTGTAACTTAAAAATGTGGTAAATTAATTCATATTCTGACAGTAAACAAAGAAATGACCTGCTGACACTGACATAAACCTAACAATGAAAATATTCTATGGTCTGTATGGCCGTCTTCCAGTTTGTGTGAGCAGTTTTAAATAAAAATCCAGGCTAAACAAAAAATTGCTCCTGTAAAAACTCAAATTATTAATCCTGAATTCAAATCTTTGATTTATAAACAAACTCATGTTTGGTCAGCATAGGTAGTACAACGGACTATTAATAATCATACTACTAATAATAATGGTAATAATAGTACTACTACTAAAAAATAACAATAATACTGAAAATCAATAATTTTTCCATCAGTTTCATAATTTTCATCGTAAACTTAAAAAGATAAAGATTAATGGCCCATGCTTGTTCATCTAAACTCAGCTGTAATGTGTCATGTTGCTAAAACTGTTAATCACTACAGACTGGTCGTTTTATAAGTAATGCATTTCATTTCTTGGTCTTAGTGATCCCTCAAAGCGCTTTTAGCACATTTCAACCTCACATTCTATACACTTCCAGCATTTCATCTACCTCACATCCATGGCCAGTTTAGAATCACCTATTAACCTAACATGCATGTGTTTGGACTGTGGCAGGAAGCTGGAGTACCTGCAGGAAACCTATGCTCACACCAGGAGAATAAAGGCCCCGGCCGGGGTTTTACCCGAGATCTTCTTGCTTTTATGTGTCAGTGCTAACCACTGCCCCACTCTTCCACATACTACCTATAGGTGATATTAATAACACCTCAGTTTCATTATAATAGCATCTGTCAAAAAATTTTGCTCTGAAAATCAGTTCTCTTCAATTTTAGAAAACTTGTAAACTTGCTGTAAAAAGAAACTTTGCCAAATATTTGACCTTCCAAAGGCGGCTTGCAGAGCCTGGAGCAGAACATGCGGGACAATTGAGAAATATATTCAGTAGTGTGAACTAATGCAAAAATCAAGAACACTCCAAACATATTCTGCTCCCATCCGATCAGGCCCTGGAATTTCAGAGGAAGCGCTGTAAGTTTTGTATTGTGCCGTCCTTCCTCATTCAAAAAAAATGAGGTGGTGCACGAGTGTGTGTGTGTTTTTATGTGTGTGTGAACAAGGAAACAAGACCTGCCGTGGCCTTTGACATAGGCAGGCTTGGAGTTGTAGAAGTATAATTACATTGCATCAAGGAGAAATCACAGCTCTTAAGAAAGCAGGGCCCACGTAATCTCACAGGTGTGTCTGACAGAGAGACGCAGTGAGGGAAAGAGAGCGAGAGAGACGAGAACCTGTGGCGTCTTTACTGGAAATCCACATCAGCGCCACCCATCACACACTATTAGTTGCCATCAAAGCTCTAATTTTACTCTAACATTACACCCCGCTCCCTGTGCCCCCCTCCCTCCCCTGCTGGTCTGGATGGCGCAGCCTGGTGGGAAAACGACATTCAATCCACTATCCGCCCCATTCAGGCCAAATTGGCAAATGACTGCTCTCCGCCTCTCAGATTGCAGGAAGTGAAAGGTACCGCAGCTACCAGCCTGGGCCTCCAAAAGCTTCTTGAGGGGTGGGGAAGGAGCAAGGGTGAAAGCAGGGGGAGAATGAGAACCGGTGAGGCCGAGGAGTGGACTGAGGTGGGTTAACAGCTTTCCTTGTCCTCCTCTGCGGTGACAGTGCTGGACAGAGAGCACAGAGGGGGGAAAAATAGAGCGAGTGAAGAATGCCTACTCAGCAGATCAAAGGAACATCCCTGAGGCCAACGGAAAAGTTGATCTCAATCCCCTAATCACCCACTTTACCACCCCGGGCCGAGCCCTGCGGGCAGATGAGAAAACAGAGTTTGCCCTCACGGAGGTCAACAGCTGCAGGAGAGCCGTACACTGAGTTTGGGCTACAGAGGCAGGCTGTACAGACAGAATTAAAAGGCCAGCTTCTCCCAGTTTTTTCTATATGCATTCAAGCAAAAATTTAAATGAAATAAACCATAAGGACAACAAGCTGTGGCAACAAGTCTGATGAGCGGTAAAAAAATGTAAAACAAAAACACAAATCTAGCATGTTTCGTATATGACGGCAGAACTCACAGAAAAAAACCCAACAAAACCAAGGCCTTTCATCACTATTTTACCACGACATGCAGGGAAAAGACACAGAACATATTATGTTAGACACTAACTGGCTGCACCGCTGAATGGTACTCTTACCGCTAATTAAGTGCTAATGGCAGTTCCCCCTGCAGAGAATACCAATTAATGCTCCATTCTTCTGCGGGCTCAACGCGTACTCCACCACGGCCTAATGAGGGGAGGCAGGTACGTCTTCTTCCAGGCTGGGTTAATAAGCACAACACAGTGGGGTCTAAATAGAGAGGGCCATACTGGGGGGCTGCTTCCTGTTCCCTAATCTTAACAGACCCCCCTCAGAACACTCACAATGAGCCACAGAGGTAATGAAAGGATCGGTCCCGTAAACTCAGAAAATAGGCCACAGCTTATATACCACCTCAAAAGTTTAAGTGCGTATAATTGTGTAAATGAACATGGAGAAAATTCTATATTAGGTATAAGAAAAAGCTTATATAAAATCCTCCGCAGAGGCATTTGGTAATTTTTCTTCATGTCTTTAAATTTTACAATGCAGAGCATTTAATTTTGCACACTGTCCAACTATGTGTTGTATACACAATTTGTTTAAGCTTCTTAACAATAAGTACCATGTCAAAAATTTTCTGGGCGTCCTGCAGAATTATTACCAAGAAATTGCTGATGTCTCATAGAAAACAACTTCTATTTCATATAGTTTCCAGCACTGCCGAGAAATAAATAAATACATTACCTGTTTGGATGCAGAAAGCCCGGGAATCAGATTCAAAGTGCTGAAGAATGAATGGATGTGCGAGTATGTGGGTGCGTGCAGGAGCGTAAACATAGATTGAGGATGGTATTGGAATTACCTGAGTGAGATAATGGGGGTGCATTAGATTAACTTTCAGTCCTTAAATGCAACACATTTAGGCAATCTTGTCCCCCCAAAACATGTCAGTGTCTGAAAGGCCTCCCTCTCGCTATCAGGAGCCTCTGGTCCCCCACACTGATGCAGCTGGCAAGGCGCTACCGTCGACTGTCAAAACGCAGCGCCAGATCTAGTTATAAAATAATTGAATTTTCATATCAGAGGGGACCAGAGTCCCAGCAGACAATAGGACTGCTGAGTCCTCTCTGATATTGGCTCAGGCCCTTTGCCATGCGCATGAAATCAGTATGTTAATGTTCCAGGGTTTTCTTTTTTTAAGGGCACTTGTGCTCTCGCAATGTACTACCGATGCGGTTTCAAAAAATTGCAACTATTGATAAGTAGGCAGCCAGCAACCCCCTCGACCCCTCCTCCCACCCAGCATGCCACCCCCACCGCCTCCCCCTCCAACCCACCAAGGCTCTAGACGTTCTCGCACCCCCATCCTCCCCCATTATTAAAATTGTAATTTATTTTTCTAAATCAGAATGACAGCTTGCTTTCTTTTCTCTGCAGCAGGCAGTGAATCACCAAGCTTTAATTACTTTCATAACTTCGCTGACCCTGTGAGCGTGCCGCTCTGCCAGAGAAAATGGGACCTCCAACAAAGGCCCTCCACAGCCTCAGCCGCCTTCGGTTCATTCAAAATGCGAAAATTTATCAAACTACGGATTTTATAAGATTTTGTTAACATTTCACCTCCTATCTTTTTCACACTCTCGCCCCCCCCCCTACAAAACACCCCCGCCTGGAGCAGTTCTGCACTCCCAATCTCCTGGCCCAGCTCCAGGAGAAACTCTGGAGAACTAAACAACCTAATTCCAACTCTCCATCCACACCTCTCTCTCTGTCTCCCTGTGCTTTTGTTGACTCAACAAGGTCTCCTCGGGTCAAGACAGACAGGGGTCATACTATTATCAGCAACCCCCTCATATCCGGGCCGTGGCCTCGGCAGCACGGAGACAGTCAGAGCAAGGTCCTGGGGCCACAAAGCACAGATCAACAGGGACGAACGGTAAATTTGATCACTTCACAAATCTTTGGCCTGCAGACATCAAGGTCAGGCTTTATTCAGCAGAGCTGCCAGACTCTATCACCCAGCTATCAAAGGATTTTCCATCCACAGGTTACTGCCACAAGAGAGTCGTTTTTCTCTGTCTAAAAGCATGAAATGCGCTCAGAAACTATCACATGGATCATGGCCGTGACACCGATGAGTGAGAGAGCCACGTGTGGCTTTAAAGTTGAACAGGAAAAAGGGTTAAGATACAACCCTCTCCTGCTTTGTTGCTCCAAAGTTCAGGCATCCTCCTTGTTCGCCAGCGGATCCCTATTTGCTTCGCATTATTCCTGCTGGCTGATTTATTAAAGTAGCTAATATGTTGTAATCCCTGCTATCGCTCTCACCTTCTCACTGGCACACCTCTGTTTTGGGCTGTGCCACTGTGTGAACCAGGGGTGTGCAGGCAGGGTTGGTCTTTTGCTGACTGCCTGATAATTGAATGAGCGATTATCCCTCCCATTAATAGACAATGATACAGAAAGCACTGCCATATGTACAGAATATTAATGAGTGGCTGCAGCGGCCTAGATAAGAGAAGCGCCATGCAGTTGCTGTAATAGGGGTTAAAACAATTTGCCCCCCGCTACCCTATTCCTCCCCGCACACACACGAACATACACACACGCCAGCTCCCCGTGTTTTCCTCTCTGCTAATCCTCCACCCTCTCACCAACTAAGCGGGTTGCTTCTGAAAATCTACCCCCCATGGCCTGGACGGATGCTTGGTGCTGACCTCACTGCTACCAAGGCCAGTCGGTTATTGTGTAAGAAATGGAGCAGGGTCTCCTGACAACAGAATGACATGCACATGATGAGAAACAGAGGGTGTTTTGTGTTTACGTTATGAGCCATTCAGAATTTTGCCTACAAAAAGAAAACAATGTTTTATTTTATACGGCTTTTGCAATTTTTCTTGTAGGATCTCAAGATTTTACAGCTTCTTCCTTCTCTTTACTTTCCACAACTAAAGTGTTTTCTCCTTGTGTTCAGCTCAAGTGAAGATGCAAGAGGAGTAGAAGCCCACACAGTCACAAAGGCCCATCCTGCGTTTCATCAAAAGTTGCACAGAGTCACGCAGGTGAAACAGCTGGGGCGCTCTTCTGTATGAATCTCCATGCCAATCAATATCTAACATCTATTAGCATTGGAAAGCAATATTTCCCCTTTTACCTTGCAATAATTGTGCTTAATGCTGTGAAGTACCTTATCGTAGGTCTGGCGGCAAAAGAAAGGCCGGTTACCATGGCGACCATGAAAGCCATTGGTTTCCTTTTCAGCAGAATAATGAACTTCTCTCCTCTGTGTGTCACTCTTCCACTCCACTCGCAGCCTCTCCGATTAAATTGAAGTCCACGCGTCCTTGAAATCCCTCGTCTCTGCCTTATAATTTGCCAAACAAGAGGGGAAAAAAAAGAAAAAAAACACAGAAAAAAATGTTCAAACCTCAACAAATGCATCACTTTAGGCAGAGGCGTAGGTATATCTCACTCAATCAATGCACAATGTACTTTTTTTAATCTTGCTAAAGCGAATACATCCTCTTAATTAAAAGATTTTCTATACTTGCTTTTGTGTTGTATTTCTTTTAAACTGGAATGATTTCTGACTATATTTTTTCCACTTTTACTTTGTTAGGCGGTTAGATACTGGATTGCAAAGCTGTGAGATAACCATTAGATTTCCACCTAGGAAAACTATCAGTCCTCTCAGATCCTAAACAACTCTTAACGTGAGGTTTTAACCTTTAGAAAGAGGTATCAGGTCCATTAAAAGCAGTTGCACTACTTTTATTTTTGTAGCTAATTTAAATGTTAGAATGAATCAGCCATGCAATGCAAAACCCCAGATCCCTTTGTGTTGATCAGCTTGATGCTGCAGTAGCTTTGAGGTGATGGAAAGCTCCTCTTGAGTATTTTATGGTTAATACTATAGGACAAACTTATTAATAATGACTGCTAAAAGATTCACCTAACTAGGTGCTCGGCTGCAGGATATTTTTCTACATTTCTACAAGAATTTAAAAAAATAAAAAATAAAAAAAAAAGCTCCGCGTTTCTTTTCTCTAAATGTCTTGAATCCGATCAGTGAATGCACTCGCTATCCACAATGTCCTTGAGCACAGACATCTTCACTGCCAGGGGACATTGAGTGTTTTATTCACTGGAGGTGTCTGCATGATGGTCGATCAAGGGGAAGAAAGGCCTGAAACTCATTCAAGCAAACTTGGAGAACAGAGACGAGCACACAGATCGAAAGAAAGCCAACAAATAATGACATCAATTAAACAGCTGGAATGGAGAATATCCCAAATTTATTCAGATCACCCACTTTAAGTTGGAGACAGTTTTATCTAAGGGACTAAACGCACAGATATTTTGCATATTTTTAATATGAAAACGAAGACGTCAAGTTTTTAATGTTCAAAGTCTCATTTAGTCTGATTTTTTAAGCAATTTGAAAACACAGATGTTAGTAAAATACTCAGTTTTACTTTGTCGTTATTTGTAAATTAATTCTTTGTACGCTTTGATCTTGGTGCTTTGCTAAAACGGATGTGGCAGTTGCTTAAGTTTCTAATCAAATATCAGCGGTCTATAATTATCGGTAAATGTTAGCTTCATGAACGCGTCACTTCTGTTTTCGTTTGCTTATCTGCTTTTTCAATGACAGACCTGCTCATTTATCGCTCCATGTGTGTTTTCCAGCGAAATAATTTCCAAAATGGGCGGAAACACTCGCGATTCTGGCTTGCAGGCGTGGGGTGGGGCCTTGATAACGTATGACGTCTGAACATTTCTCCAAAACAGTAAACTTACCTTTAATTTATATTCGTCATTTGTTTTTGTCTTTTAAACTTCGAGAGGCCGAACCAAAGCACCTGACAAGTGAGTTAGTCCGAGTTGCCGCTGTTAGCAACATTTAAAAAGCCTGATATTATTTTAAAACGAGAGCTGCGAGGACAGGTTTCCAAGGAAGGGTTAGTTTCTTCAAATTTTTAAAGCGACGTCTAATCGGAGCATGCGCACATGATCAATTGCTCTACCTAGGTTTCTCTGGTAGGTCAAGGTGGCAACATATCCTGTTAGCGGGAGCGTAGAAATGAATCAATCAATATCAGTTTTGAGCTTGTTCAATTAAACATCCCTCATTTAGGAAAAAATGCACATAATGCAGTAATTTAAAAAAAAAAACACATACGTCTGATAGATAGATAGATAGATAGATAGATAGATAGATAGATAGATAGATAGATAGATAGATAGATAGATAGATACTGATTTTTTTTAATTACTTAAAATATTAATTTATTAATTAATATTAATTTTCAAAAATATTTTTGTGTAGGCTAATATTACGATATCCCAGATTTTGTATGTTCTTAGTAGATCTACTTTTGATTCAGAAACCTTAGTCTACACTGGCACCTCTTTCAGAAGTGGAAAACTGCACACAGAGCCCACCCGGAAGTCATGAAGTTCATGACTTGCTTAACTGCAACATATTTACTGCACGTATTCATGTAAATTGAATGTGTTGTTGTTGCTGTTGTTTTTTTTAACCTCTGGAGTGGATGGCAGGGTGCTCATGCTACCTTTCGGGTTGGTCCTTGAGGGTCGGGTTTAATTTTACGCAGATGTGTGAAATGCTTAACAATCACACATGGTGTTTTTCAGAAATGGTACCGTTTGGATGTCCTGTCCATCCTCCCGCGTTTTTTCTGGCTTCCTTCTCTTTTTATCTTAAAGACAGCGTCGTCATGATCGTGGCACAAAAATATTTCTTTCTACACTTAAACGTCATTTTATAATTTTTAGAATTTTCTAATGCATTTTTAAAAAATCGAGTGTATTCACTGCAAACACAACACTATATCCTGAACTTTTAAGTACTGCCTCCTGACTAAATCAGACCACGAGGAGGCGCCAGTAAGCTTACTTCAAGCGACCAAATGAACGAAATCTGCCGTTCAGTGCAAGGCAAACTATTGAAATGTGCACAAAGTTGACACGTCGTCCAACAAAAGCGTTTGAACCTTTAGGAAGATGAGAATTAAATGTTTATTACACGCCGAGTGCTGGATCAGTATGATAAAGAAGATGGAGATCTTTGTGATGTAGATTGTGTACAGGTTATAGTAATTAAAAGGTACCTGTGGGTCAGTTATAACTTTTGGTGTGGATAAATATGGAAATCCCATGCGTTTAAAAATCCCCTGAATACTCTTCTTATAACCTCCAAAAACATGATATTAAATGTTACATCTTTCACATCCAGCTAATATGACAGGGTATCTTTCTCACCAAGACAGTTTGTAGGCACACATGTAGGTTTTTTTGTTTGTTTGGGGGGGTGCAACTTTAGGGAAATTCAGTATAAAGACTTCCCAAATAGGCTGATAAGGGTTTACTCTTAAATACAGGAATCTGATATAGGCATCTGGTGTGCACAAAACTCCTTCACCAGCTATATGCTTTTGTTTATCCCTCATATCTGGGCATGTGATGGTATATTACAGTGAAAAACAGGTTTTGTTAACATTTGAGTCACATATTCTGCTTTCACTTCCCAAACGCTGCCTGCGTTGACACCTTATTTAGGTCTCGTAAGGTGTTACTTTCAATTTTGCTAAACATGAGGTGATGTTGATTAGATGTAAAATCTTTCCCTGACCAGTTGTTCACCACATAATCAGGCTGTGACAACTGATATGACACTTCTGTCTTTTGTGGTAACATGTCATTGTGTAGCCACAAGACTTAGAAGTAGTCCTCGTATTTTAGATTGTGAGAGCATCATTTGGGATGGTGCACTCTAAACACTTCTCCGCTTGCATACCTTCATACATCAGCAATTTTAAAAAAAAACAAGGGTGGAGGGCTCTGTGTGATTAAGTAAAACTTTCCTATGCTGATTTCAGCTCTTGCAAACCTTTCAGAGTTAAAGCAGCCAACTTATCCTTGAATTCCATTTGTCAATCCCGAAGGTAAAAGGGGGAAAAAGGAAAATCCCTTCTCCCGCTGCAGAGGTGTGGGTGGTTTTGAATGCAGAAACAGTCTGGAGTCGTCTCTCCGCTTTCCTCCATGGTAAAGAAAAAGACAGCTGTGAAAGTTGAAGGACAAAAGCAGCTGGGATCTGGGGCTGCGCTATATTTGCAGCTGCAGTTTCTGGGTAACACACAAATACTGTTGATAAAACAGGAAGGATTACATCACAACTGTCTTATGTTTTAAGACAACAGTCAGACGTTTCTGTTATATTTTCATCAGCGAGTGTTCAATCAAACCTTATTATCTACACCAAAGATGACAAACTGACTCAATCGTCTCATCGTTTTACTTTAAGGCACCTGTATTAAAGGCTTTAACTCAAGTGTCTCCCTTTCTTCTGCCTAGGCACAATTTTCTCATAAATAACTGTATACAGGAGTGTAACCACTGTTTATTTACATGTTTAGCAATGAATAATAACGCCTCTGGGTTATATACAGACTCATTAAAAAAATACATGATTTTTATATAACAAATAGCATTCTGAAGAAAATGAGAGGAACCCCAAACATTTCTTTGTTTTGTTCTGCAGAAATCTTGAAAGACACAAAGCTTATCCAGCTGAGTTAGAGTCACAGTACACTGGTTCTTTTCTCTTCAAGCCTCAGATCGGAAATGACAGTTCAGCCAGGTGCAGAAATATTTACCAGTAGCTCGCAATTGGCACTACGTCTCAACATCCTCACTGGCTTTAAGAGCTGAGTTTTTATAAGCCAGGCCAATACTGTCGTTATTATTCCGCCGTGCTGGTGCCTGCTCAGATATTTGGCTGCTCACTGTCTGTCTTTTTCTCATCAGAACATTCATCATTTTGGAGCGGTAGTGATCCCCAGCCAGGAAATACAATATGGGATCAATGCAACTGTTGATGCTGGCCAGCGGCCTGGTGATCTTGTAAGCAAAGTTTACTATGTTGAGGAATTTACAGTTAAGATCCAGCACACGGGCCGTATAGTAGAGGGTCCGTGTGATGTGAAATGGGACGAAGCTGACAGCAAACACCACAAGCACCACGATGATGAGCTTGATGGATTTCTGACGTGAAGCAGCGCTCTGCTGGCTTGAAGATATTCCCTGTCTGGGCTGGCACAGGGCCCGAGCCATCAGGCAGTAACACACCATAATGACGACGAACGGGATGCCAAACAGCAGCACCATCACAACAGAGCTGTAGTCCACATACTCCTCGAAGGCCTCCTGGCTTGTTGTGTCATGGCACAGGGTGTCATTGCCCCTCCTGGAGGTGGTGACAAACATGATATTGGGCACCAAGCACACGGTCACCACACTCCACACTATGCCGCAGACCAGGTGTGCATGGCGACGCTTCACCAGGCTCATCATCTTAATAGGGTGGCAGATGCCGAGATAGCGATGCACGCTGATGCAGGTGAGGAAGAGAATGCTGCAGTAAAGGTTGGCATAGAAGAGGAAGCGTGCAAGTTTGCAGGCAACCACACCGAATGGCCAGTGACTCCGGTTGGCATAGTAGTATATGAGGGTGGGCAGGGAGAGTACATAGAGGAAGTCTGACAGGGCGAGGTGGAACATGAACACTGTACTGGCGTTCCAAGGACGCATCTTCACAAACAACCATAAAGCTGCAGCATTAAGCACAAAGCCGAACACAAACACCAGACTGTAGGACACGGGCAGCAGAATGTATTTGAACTCTTCATCAAACTGACAGCTCGAGTTGAAGATCGAGATCAGCACAGACCGGTTGTGTCCTTCTGAGCTGCTGGTGACCCTCTCCATAACTATGAATGACCTGTGCGATCAGCTGTTAAAGCTATCAGATGAAAACCTGCGAGGAAAAAAAGAAACACTGAGATATGACGATTTTTAAAATATAAAGTTCACCCTTTTTTTCGGTTGGTAGCTGCATATTTATCCCTCAAGGGACCAAGCTGTTTTAGCAACTGAAATGACAGAGTGAGGTAATTTATGGCACCGTTGTTTTAAACAGGAAGACTTTTTTATTGGCTCTGTATGGGTTTATCTTATATATACAGTTTCTTTTATCTATGATGGATTCCAAAAATTTCTATGGTAACAAATTATGTTTTTTTTAAACGTTTAACTCAAATCATCAAAGCTTCTGATGTAGTAAATCTTGTTTAGGTACAAGATTCACTGCAAAACATCACTGAGTAGTGGTTAGAAGTAGAAAACCACAATAAAATCAAAATCAACAAAGTTCAATGTTAAAGAGTACATATATCTCTGGGATCACAACTAACGTTTCCAAACTTTTCCGTATCTTTAGCTAACTTTCCATCATACCGATACTGGGAGTAGATTGACAAAATCATGGTAGAAAACACTTTTTTAAGATTTAAAAATATCACAGCAGCACATATAAACATGTCACCGTCTTCAGTTTAAATGTAAAGAATTTGCCCTCTATAAAATTTTGTTTTTAGAATAAGCTACTGATGGGGCTGGAGCTTAGGTGGTACAGCAGTTTGTCCACTAATTGTAGGTTTGGTGGTTCAATCTCCAGTCTAATTTTGTCCTTCTGAGGCAAGAAACAGAACCCCAACTCTGTTCTGTTGCCAGGCCAGCACCTTGCATGGCAGCTCCACTTGCACAAACTTGTGCAGGTGGGTGACAGAGACATTGTAGAACCACCAAAGATGCATTATAAGATAGAAAATAATCTGAGATTAATCAGCAATGAAAATAACAGTTGTGGTAGTACAGTTAGTCTGTGGAGGAGTCACATTTTTTTTCTACTGGAATCATGTCAGAAGCATTTCAGTCCTTCATTTAACTTAAAAGTCATAGTCTAAAAACACTGTTGGGGGGGGGCTTAAATGGTCACTATGCACAGCAATATCCCTTCAGAAAGTAAAATTCAACTAGTTAACTACTCAAAGGCTAGTGTTTGGAAACAATAAACATTATATTATAAAACTATATTTTTATTATCGATTTATGTATCACCTTAAGGTTAAAGGTGATAAGCGTGGTAACTATATAAACGGGGTAGACCGTATTTCACTGGGAAATCTATCGGGAAAGAAGTGCAAAGTTAGATGTAAGGAGGGTTTAATAAACTGTATCTAAACAGAACTTCCATCGGTTTCTTTCCATTGCTGTTGGTTGATCATTTAAATCTCCTTAACCTG